GTTTTTGTTATCGTGAGGTGCTGTTGTTTACTGCTGTTCTCACTGCTGTGGTTACCGACCTGGCCATTATCATAATCATCAACATGTTGCCCTCCTTGGTGTGATTATGTCAGTACGATTTCCATTGTTTGTGTTGTTTCTGTTACGGGTCCATCCGGGCTTGTACAGACAAACCCCGTGCAACCCCCTAAACCCTAAACCCTAAACCCCTAAACCCCTAAACCCCTAAACCCTAAACCCTAAACCCTCTCAACGCGGCCACTTCATTCAGATCGGTCTTCAGGGCTTTTGATGTCGGCTAAGCCATGGATCTGCCGGTAGGTTCGGAGTACGTAGACTCAGAAAGCCAATACGAGAACTTTAAACTTTTTGGGCTTATCTATTGGGTCTATCCAAAAAAGCTTGAACTTTTTTGGGCCTGGTTGTTGAAGAAGAGAGTAGAGCCTAGGTCTACCTGTACATCTACCGCGGTTCCGATGAAAACTGGGTCCGGGGTAGCTAACCATCTTCATGCGCTACCAACCAAGGAAGCCTTAAAGTAGGCTCATCACTCGGTCATAAACACAGTCCTAATTACCCATAGGCCCCATAGTAGTTCCTTTTTGGGATTCCCTAATAGGATCCTAAATTATAAGCCGCAAAAAGGAACTACACTCTGGGGCCTATGGGTACAGCCATCATCAGGCTTCAACTGGCCTGAACCTCCAACTAACCCTCGGTCGCCCCCTTGAGGTCTCAGAACCTACCAGCACCCCCCAAGTACCCTTTAATAGAGCCCTTATGGTCCTTAATAGTGGGTATTGTGCTGGTAATTTCCCCCCCTCTGGCCTTGAAGTGTCAGCAGCCTTCGGGTAGACTCTAAGACTGAAGCACAGAAGGCTACCTTAAGAACCCCAAACCCACTTTGTTGGAGCAGGTTCTTCTTATAAACGGTAATATGGTATTTATAGGGACCCTACAAAAAAGTGGGTTTTGGGTTCTTAAGGTAGACCTTTGACTCACCCAAATCCTGAACTCTGACCTCGAACATAAACTCTAAATCTCTAACTGAAACCGTGTTCAAATCCTGAAGGCTAAACCTCCAACCCAAAACCACCGATCCGACAAGCCCCGACAGCTGAATCGAGCCTTCCTGAACCTTCGACATGCCAACGTCTCAGCACGTAGGTGGATTGAAGCACAATCTCTGAACCCGGTGGGGCTCTAGCCGCACTCCATCCCAATGAGGTCTACGGGCCGAACCCCTAAACTCTTTTGCTCCTTGTAAACTGATCAGCCCCAAACCCAATCCCGAAGGCCTCACGAAGCCTTGAGACATCGGTCTGTGAACGTGAATCCGGAAACCTATCGTATGCTTGGAATAAGAGCTTTCGGGCTAAGAGTTTAGGGTTTAGGCTTTCTCCTCGATTCACTGGCTACTCAACCATGAAAGAGAGGATTCTGGGATGTTCCAAAACACTTTCTGACAATGGTTGTGCGCTTTCAAGCTTGTCTTGTTGTGGCTTTAAGGGCCTGGGGGCCCGAGGGTTGTGCAGGGTCTGATATACGGGCCTTGTTGATTAGAATAGGGTTTTGGGGGCCCATTATTCTTATACTTATAATAAGGAGCCCCCAAACTAGTATTGGTAAATATTTAGGCCCCTGCATTAGGGTTGAGGGTTCTGGGGACTCTAGAGTGCTCGACTGTGTGCTTCGGCTTCACTGTTCCGCGGTTCGCCGCCCATCGCAATGTGATGAATGGTGTCCAGGCCCGTCAACCGGAATGGTAGCGCAAACATGTTTTTCAGTTGTCACCGTTGCTATCATGATAAACGGCCGTGGTAAGCACAATCGTACCAACATTAACATTGCCACTCATGCTTACACAGGTAGGAAATGACTAGTTGCAAGCAGTTCGTGTTTGTTTCAGCACCTGCTACCACTACTGCTGGTCAGCGAGGGCCTGGAATGTCTCACCGTTCATGGCAGTCGTAACCATACATCCCTGGAGCATAGATGCGACATCTGCGTCCCCAAACCGACCATACAATGCTGCTGAAAGAAACGGGGGCAGTGCGAGGCTCTAAATCCGCGGGCTTTTGATCAGATCCTTAAGCCCGAGCCCCAAGCGCCACAGGACGAGCCGACAAGATGCTACTTAAGTAGCTAAGCTCTCCTCAGAATACTGCCGCCCTAAACCCTAAGCCCCCAAATCCTATAAACCATATGCTGCCGCTCAAGGAAGGAGAGTGCGGAGGTCAGGAGCGTCAGCTTAGGACATATAGGGCTTGGGCTTCAGGGGTTTGGGGTTGGTGTAAGGCTTAGGGTTGAAGCCGAGAAGTTTTCAATAACCTCCATGCGGCATAGGGTTTATCACCCTAAGGGTCCAAGTAGTCCCCATTTAGCCCCAAAGTCTTTAAATAATGGGTACAGGACCCTTAGGGTCAGCATTCAAGATTTAGGGTGTAGAAGCGTTGCGCTCGAGGCGTTTCCTGTTGGCTAGTATAGCCATAGGCCCCACAGTAGTTCCTTTTTGGGGATTTCCTGATAGCATCCTAAACATGTACATACGCCACAAAAAGGAACTACTATGGGGCCTCTGGGTAGTTCTTCTAGTATATTGCAGTACATGTCGTTCTCGATCAGGAGTTTGTGGAAGGATCTTTGATTGCTAAGCAGCCTGTGGAGGGGTTCATAAATCGGCGGTCTTGCTTTAAGGGTTTAGTTTAGGGCCTAGGAAGAAATGCACACCTGCATAGGAGGAGTTCTTAACCAGGGCCTGCTTTGGGAGCCTGTTTGAAACGAATCCCGAGCAGACATGCTCTCTTCGTGGGTTATGGAACAGCAAGTCCCGCCGTGTGCTACACATCTATCAATGCCCTTAACCTTGCTGCCCCTAAACCCTAAATCATCCCTGACCCCTCGGCACTACCATAAATTGTCGAGCCCGGCTTGGAGAAACGGGCGAGCCTTTGCGACTGAAACTCTGAAGGGCCTGCACGCTCGGAATAGTACAGGGTATGGATCATACATGCTATATTCATTTTCCTATGTATACTATATCCTATGATTATACTGTTTGTTATACATACATATTACTATTGTTTATGTGATATTAAGCCGCCCCCCCCCTCTCAATAGATACTCGGAAAGTGTGGTTATTATTAGGGGGTAGTTTTATCTCTTCTGCCACTTTGAAGGGGACGTGCTCTTGCTCCTGCTCTGGCTCTTGCTCCCACGCTGGCTTTTTTGCTCCTACTTCTGCTGCGTCTCTTGCCCCTGTTTCTGCTCTTGCTGTTGCTCCCGCTTTTGCTCCTGCTCTTGGTCTTACTCCCGCTCTTGCTTTTGCTTTGCTGCTGACTCTTGCTGATGCTCCGCTTTTGCTGTTCCTCCTGCTCTTGCTCGTACTGTCTAAAGGTATTGGGAACCTCGAAACCCTCCCGCTACTTCAGAGTGTTTTCATTATTACGGGGGTGCTTAATAAAAGGGGGAAGCGATTTTACCATATTCCAAACACGATAGACTATCTACCATGTACTGTAATACTGTCTACGATTTCTGTATAACGTACCCCGACACCCTATTCTGCTTCTTCAGCTGCCGCAGCATGCTGCAGTGCATTTCTCAAAGGTCCCCGGCAGCTAGCAGATCTTGCCAAACCATGAGCAATTTGCGACAAACTCAAGGGATCTAGATGCACTGGTCGCGCCAACTGCAGTGGTGGATCTTCGAAGCGATTTTTTGTGTGTGGGGTCTGCGGTTTTCAGTGTTTCACCCCTGATGCAATGGGCTGCGGAGCATCTGCCAGGAAAGATGCCGAAGAAGAGGCGCCGAGACCAACCGTCCGAGCGCAAGAGCGCATGGTCTCCAAACCTGAAGTGCTCCAAACATGGAATGAAGGTAATAAGATAGGGCATAATTAATTACCCATACGATTTTTGGGGGGATTCCTTATTATTATTATTATTACTATTATGATAAACCTGTTAAGAGCGACCCTGAATCCGACTGACCATTTCCGTGCGTGCAGCTTCTCACACGGTTTAGGGTTTAAGGTTTAGGTTTAGGGTTTAGGGAACCGAAATAGTAGGATCTGCGTTCGAGAGTCTAAAGATTCGAACCCAACACTCCGGGAATTTCCAATACTTTTCGGGATTCATCGGGAGCGACCGTCAGCGATGGCGAGAGACAGCATTTAGAGAGTCTGGTTCCGAACTGGAAGGCATGCTTTTTTGTTTATTGTCGTCGGTGTTTTTTTGCTGTGAGTGCTCCAGGGCAGCGGGCGCAAGCGAGTGCGTGAACTCGGCACCCACGCGCAGCAAAGGCATCGCGCCACAGCCAGCACCCATGTCGGAGCACACGAAGCAAACAGCCACCCGCAAGAAGGCGCCCTGCACCCAGAGCGACCAAACAGCAGGCATGCGGCATGCGGCATCCGTGCACCCGAAGCCAAAAACTAAGCGTGCCCCGCACCCCCAGCAAAGCAAACGCGCGACCCTGCACCCGCGGCAAGAAAAAAGGCGCCGCACACCCGCAGCAAGAAAGCACCCGGAACAAAAACAAACACTCTTACCGTTCAGGACTTTGGGTTTCGCGGTTGGGTTTATGTTTATGTTAGGACGAAGAGTGCCTTAGGACTTGTTGGGGCTTGGGATTTCGGACTTATATTTTGGGATGTATAGGGCTTGGGGCTAGGATTTCTGGCCGTTGCATATAGCTTGGCGTGCAAACCTCCCAACTTCAAGTTTCGCACTTCATGCTCTTGGCAGCATGCCCTGAGGCCCTAAACCCTAAACCCCTAAACCCCTAAAACCTCAACCCCTAAACCCTATAAACCCTAAATCCCAAAACCCTATAAACCCCTAAACCCCAAAACCCCTATAAACCCTAAATCCCAAAACCATATAAACCCCTAAACCCTATAAACCCCTAAACCCTAAAACCCTAAACCCTAAACCCTAAACCCAACCCTAAACCTTATCAAACCCTAAATGAGCCAGGCGAAGACGATCTCACGGCAGATGTCCGTTGCCTCGGGGAAGCTCTCCAGAGCAAGCTCCGGCATCAAGCACACCAAATCTGCACCTCTTTGACGGTTTAGGGTTTAGGGTTTCGGGGGGGTTTAGGGTGGTTTTAGGGTTTTTTGGGTGGGTTTAGGGGGTTTTAGGGTTTCGGCTTGGGGGTTTGGGGGGGGTTTAGGGGTTTTAGGTTTTGTTGCGGATTTGGGGGGCTTTGGCGAAGAGGAGAGTTTTTCGGTTTGCGGGCTCGGGGTTTGTACTTTTGAGCTTTGAAGAGGGAAAACTTAGCCGAGCGAAACGGAGCTCTAACCACTTTGGAAGATTCGATCACCGTCGAAAAGCTCGAACTCTTTTTCGCATCTGGTTGCTGAATGAGAGGATCAAAAGGCTTGGTATTTGAGATGCTGTTCACCCAAATCCATGCCGGCTTGTTTGTTCCTTGCCTTGCCGGCATGACGCGAAGCTTATATAAGCAGTAACATAACCTCCAGGTGTCCGGAGTATTTTGGAATCATACCCTTTTGCCCTCGATCCAAAATCTCAGGACTGCATTGCTCGGGCACTTCAGGGCTGACGACAGGGTTGCGGTAAATTCAGCCATCACCACGGCAGGCGCAAGTTTGTGGGTGAGAGGATCATAGGGTCTAGAGATTGTTGGCTCAGAGGGGGGATAGGGTGGTAAGCAGAGGCTGCAGTTAGAATCAGTTGCTGCAAGAACAAGCCCTGACACCTGGCGGCCACCGAAAGCTGTTCAATCGTCTGTGTCCTTCTCAATTACACTACATCCTTTTCTAAAGCAGCAGCCCCGTCAGCTGAGGCAATGTCAAACGCCACCAGCTTTTTCCGCCGCGCCGGAAACTTACGACGTACTGTAGGGGTCAGAACACTTGGTAATGGTATTCCCTTACGAGAAAGGTCTCTATTCTAAGTACCCTCGGTCCTGTTGCAACGCGGTCTTCTTGGCCGTAGAACAACAACTTGGCTTTCTTAGGTAGGCCCACGAATCAAACCACACAACACTATGTCTGGGAACCTCTGAATATTCAGCACTTAACACTATCCCCTCTTATCTCCTCAGATTTCACATTGAACATAGCGCCAAAGCCATAGTCGTCTTGAGGGGCTTTGAGGTCGCCTCAGTGCCCTGGCGCCCTTAGTTGGCGGCAACTTCCGCGTTCTACCCCTCAACAACACACCTAACATAAGTACTTCCGTATACTATTTTGGGGTTCCTTATTGTAATGATACTATAATGGGCCCCAGAACCCTAATCATTCTCATTATCAATGCCCCTACATTACCCTGAACCCCACGTCTGAACTGTGACAGATCTCAAGGCTGAGCCCAAAACCCCCAAACCTAGAAGGAATCCTAGACCAAACGGAGACATCCACAGAAACCCATATCATAAGCCCGAAAGCCCCGAAAGCACATGCAAACCCCGAAAAAAGTGAAGGCTCAAAAATCCTTCAACACCGACACCCCAACAAGCCACCTCAATCCGATCTGAACCGCTTTGAACTCCCTTAGTTCAAAGCCGTAGACCCTGAACCCCAAACACACTAAACCCTAAACCCCAACCCCACAGCTAGAGCCCCAAAAGGTTTTGGCCCTAAAGACCCCTAAACCCTAAACCCTAAAACCCTGAACCCAAAAGCCTAAAGACCCCTAAACCCTAAACCCTTAAACCCTAAACCCTAAACTCTACAGAGCCCGAGATCTCGATGGGATCGCTGACCTCGCTGCTCTCCTGGGAGCGGAAGGGCACCGGGAACTTCGAGCTACACCAGGACTTAGGGGCTGAGTAGGTAACCTTTAACCTTTTGGGGCTTATCTGATCCTATATAGTAGAAGCCCAAAAGTTGGAAACCCAATAGCCTCAGTCCCTAAGAGTAATGTATAGGGAATCCCAGCACTATTTGTCCTTAATCCGGTTTCCAACTTTTTGGGGCTTACTATAATTCAAAAGGTTAACATTTTTTAGGCTAGGGTCCTCAGCCCCTAAGAGGACCCTTAGGGTTTAGGACTTTTTGGGGTTTAGGCTTAGGGCTATTGGGATTTAGGGTTTAGGGGCCTTTGGTGCTGAGGGTTTAGGGCTTTTGGGGCTGAGGGTTTAGGGCTATTGGGGTTTAGGGTGTAGGGCTTTTGGTGTTGAGGGTTTAGGACTATTGGGATTTAGGGTTTAGGGCTGTTGGGGTTGAGGGTTTAGGGCTATTGAGGTTTCGGGTTTAGGGGTTCAAGGTTAGAGGTTTAGGGTTTAGGGTTTACCACTTGGGTGGTAGGGCTTTGCGTTTGGCGTTTAGGGTGCCATGCGCTGCGTTCAATCGTTTAGAAGTGTTGTTATCCTAACGATGTGTGTTGTATAGGCTGTGTAGGTGGTTGGGAGGTTAGTAGCTTAGGACGCCAAGGATGCCTAAGATTGTTGAGTTAGCACCCGAATGCCTGCCCTACATGCCCCCCCGCTATTGTTTAGACCAAATACCCTAAACCCCAAGCCCTCCCTACCGGGTTACCAGGACGAGGATGCATCCACAGTGCAAGCCTCAGTATGCCGGATGTGCATCACACGCTTGGCGAGGAAGGGCCTGGATACCTTGCGCGGTACCTTGCTTAGGTCCTTATCACGAGGCTTCTGCTGCATCAGGTCTATGTTCAAGCTCCCTAAGTTAACTAAGTTTTCCCATGGAAAGCTCTGTAACCGCTTATTACAGAGTCCCAAAAAGCTTTCTCAACTCTTTGAGAACATGTCTGCTTGCAAAAGCCGAAGAAGCGGATTCTCATAGAACCTAGAACCGAAGCTCCAAGCCCTCACCTCCGAAGCTATGACTGTCACGATGGCAGTTCTGCTGCCACTGTACTACTACTACTACTACTA